CATCTTAATTTAAAGACTTGTAATGTTGTGATGAATGCTCTCAACCAAAGAGTTTATATTTAGTTGAGTTTAGGTTTTTGCTGTTAGAGTCAGTCACTCAATAATAAGTGAATTAACTACTCATTTGTTTGCCTCTAAATTCCGATATTACTTAAGTCACGGCAATACTGTTCACAACTAAACAGTACTGTAGTTATGATCAAAGAGACGGTAAGCAATAGTTTATCATATATTATATTCTATATATATATATACTGTAAATATAGTGTATATACTCTATGAAACTGACACTCATATTCTCCAGCTATGAGTTATCTATACAACTGTGTGCTCAGACAACTATAGACAACATAGAGAGAGGACAGACCTCTTTCTTTTAAAAATATATTTTCTATTTTAAAGCAAATATGAACTCAAAGCTGAGGCCCAGAGGCTATAAATGGTGTTTCCAGTGATATACTGAACAAATATTTAAAGAAAATGACAAAAATTGTTTTCAAATGACAATATTTTAAAAAATAGATATATTTTTTAACAACAATAATATTAGTGAAACACATTGAAAGAGATGGTAAGTGAATATGACTTAAATCATATAAATCTCTTGATTTGAGACTCATTAGTGACGGAAGCCTTTCAGTTAATGGTTTACACGTTATGTTAAACATTAGAGCCGTAAAAGAAAACACTAGATATGCAAACGTTATTATAAACTAATTGGGTTTAAGGAAAGGCCTATTAGAAGGCCTGTGCGACTGACTGTCCAATTTAGTTGTAGTGTTAGTATGGATGCATCTGATGGACAATTTCCTTAGCAGTTCATTGCACTAATCTATGCATTAATTATTAGATATGTTGTTAACTATGATATAAACTGTATTTAGTTGTAAGTGTTGGGAAAAGACATAACGAGATTTCATTTCTGCATCTCATGTCTTAGTGACTACTGGTGTGTCACTGAAGCGAAAATACTGGCGCCATATAAGTGACCAAACGGTTTATTAAAGTGGACTCAACTTTTACAGACTATTAGCGTATGGACTCTATTAGTGACTACTGTTTCTCAAAAACTTAAAATGATTAGCAATTATATTGAGCTCACAATACCAGACAAATAGATATATGAGTCGAGAATAATGAGTTGCAATCACTTTAACAGTCAAATAATGAATGAATAAGTTTGTGCTGACAAATCATGACTGATCAGTATATGACTGTCCATTGTTTTCCACTACAAACCACAACATATAACTACTACTTCATACACACTACACATTTATCGCCCATTTATATGACCTCAGCTTCTCATAGTATTTTAATAAATTGCTTCAATCTTGATATCCCCTGATATCCCGGTGCGTCTGTTATTGACTGTTAAGAGACTCCTCTACCAGAGTACAGAATATTCAATTGAAAACATCAAAATGTGTTGACTATAGTTACCATTCATACCATTGCTTTGAGTTATTATAGATGCGGTCATTCATTGCAATAACAAAGTTGTTGGTATTTCACTTGCATTACTCGCTTTAAATTTTGTGGTTTTAAAACAATTTGCAAACTTTGCTTTCTTTTTATTGCTTTGTCAGTCACTTAACTGTAGTATATATTGTATATAATTACTGAATGTATTATTTTGAAAGCAAAATACTTAATTTAGTTGTGGAAGTGGGTGTCAATACAGAGCCACATACTATACAACTGCTCCTTTAAAAACTAATATCAGACTTAACACAAACATAACCTCGGATTAAATGCTATTATTATGTTGTCAATAGAAATAATATATATAACAACATAATTGTTTGCTTTGCAGGGAATCACTCAATATAAACAACTATTTAATTAATAAAATTAATATTTGTTGTTTTCATGCATACGTTTTGTAAAGTAAAAGCAAATTAAAGATTTTTCATCAAATGATTGATGTTAATACATAAAATATTATATATCTATTTATATTTTACATATTGTATGTTTTACAATTTAATTAAAATACAAAATGTTGATTATTATAATAATTACAAATTTTGTGCTATAAATTAATTTGATTTAAGCAGTGATTAAAAATAGTTATTGATTTGGAGCACGACTTAACACTAATTAGATATATAAGAGTTACAAACTATAAGTTAACTAATAAGTTATCTAATTATAGAAAAGTGAGTAATTCTATGCCAAACTTAAACCCTGTTTTAAATATTGGCTTTAATTATGATTTTTAAAAGCAATGCAATGAATGATAACAAATAGTTGTTTCAGATCACTATAAACATGTCATTCAATTGCTACGAGAGTTAAATATTTTTTGATACAAAATGTGAGGAGAAATTTAATTACAGTAATGTTTTGCCAAAACAAACTGAAATAGATATTCAATAGCTATATGTTGGGCTCAACACATGCATAACCAATAGTGCAGTCACTCTCTGCAACATTATCTTAACTATTGGTATTCAGTGTGTAATTTGGTTTCAAAATTTTTCTCATGTTTTTACATTTTTATCCAATTGTTCACTCAATAGTCGAGCAAATTTCCACTTTTTAGTAAATACTGTCAAACGTGATACACATTTGGTTTTATTTATAATTTTTAAAAAAATCATTCAATACTAAATAAACAATTTAAATTTATTTTACATATAATATTTATTATTTATAATTTTAATATTATAATAATAATTTTATTTTAAACTTAAATATAACATATCTAAATGCAAACGTTCTTAAAATCACTACCCCTCCCCTCAAGTGCGAACGTAATATGTGAACCACGCCTTATAAGTTCAATAAATGTACCTTAATAAGTTATATAAATAAAATACTAAATTTTAATGTGTAATGAATAGATTATTATTTGAGTTTTCTTAATAAAAAATATATAATAATTTAAGTAATATTTAAATGAAATATATCGGGAATGGGATAAAATGGGAACTTAACATCAGTTATAGCGTCCATATGAAGGCATAACTAATAATTGGTTTGTTTGGAGAATTCAATCCGTTTTGTTAGAGGTTTGCAAACGTTTGCAGACTTTAACTAAAATCGAAATTCTTGTTTAAAACGTCTGAAGAGATGTCACTTAAAGAGAGATAAGGAATGCAAGAAATGGGTGAAAATGATTGTCAAATGAAGTATATATTTCTATATGTTTTGTATCCTATCGTTGAACAAAAAACGGCACACATTTCCTGTCCTAACATATCATAACATTTATGGATGACATTCACTTAAATCACAAATTTGTATGATTTCGATGATTTGATTTAAAAATTTGATTATAAAAAACAACTAATTTATAATTGATTAATGATTTGTTATATGATTTTGATTTTATATCTTGATTTAAATAATTATTAATCAATCATTCGATTATAAAAATCATTTTAAATTATTTGAATCTAATAATGATTAAAATATTTTTGGAGATAAGATTATATATTTAATAACTATTTGAAAACATTACTATTTGTTATTAAAATTCAATTCAAAAAAATCTTAATAAAAAATAAATATTGAAACAAATTTAATTTTAAATATTTTTAAAAATCCGATTAACTCACAAATTATAGATTTACTTGATATATAAATATAATGACAATTGTAATGAATATGAACTCAATATACAGATATGTTTGATATTATAAAAGTGTTTCATTAAATTTATATCAACAGATGTTTAAAATTTCAAATTGAGTTTATTAGTAGTATTAATAGAAAATTTATTAATTAATAGAAATAATTAATTGCTAATGTTTATTAAATGTAAACATCTCTAAAATTCAAAAGATTTACTTATAAATATATCATAATCATAAAATATATATTATTATTTCCGTAAGTTTACTTAATAAATTAATAATAATAATAATAATAATAATAATAATAATAATAATAATAATAATAATAATAATAATAATAATAATAATAATATTTAATTTAAATTCATCAATTTCCAGTAAATGTATATTTATGTAAAATACATTTTATGACAAATATAACTAGAAAATTACATGATATTAGTTTAAATAAAATTTTATTCTAGTTCAAACTTTGTTATTTAAATCAATTTATTAAATTAAATAAAATTTATTTGAAGTGTATTTAAGTATCTATTGTTGTGTATTTTAAATCAACATCGAAATTGTGCTAGGTAACTTCACAGAATTATTGTTTAATATAATTTAATGCCAATTTTAATTTAATTTAAAATAATTTGTAAAATAACATAAATTTGTGATTTAAATTTATTAAAATTAATTAAAGTTTATATTTGAAATAAGTTAAACATATGGTTTTGACGTATAAGTTAGTGTATAAGCACTTACAGGTCAGATATGATAATTATTTGGTTAAGATTTAAGCCGTTAGTTGTAATGAAAGTCAAACACGTTTCAAATTAGCAAAACTATAATTTAAATACAATTGAATTGTGTTTAATAAGCCGCCCAATTGAAGGAGGAGTTGACTTAAATATAAAGATAATATAAGTGCAACCAATTGAAGACAACAGTTATCCTCCAATTATGGCAAATAAGTTTGCCTTAAGTTTATAAATATATGACTGAATTGAATACTGTTAGCAATACATAGACCGCACCCACAAAGGGCTGTCCAAAAGTTGAGCAAATCTACAAGTTTTTGGCCGCACTTTACAAATAAGTAGTAATTATTAGGACTTGAGATATAGTTAATTGAGATGCGATGGCATTTTGGTTAAAACGTATGAAAAGTTTTTTTTAAAAATCTTTTAAAACAACTATTTGTTTAAAGACTTGTTTCATGCATTTATTTCAGTAAATTTGTATCATTTTATAAAGTGATCTCATATTCTGTGTATTTTATTTACAGATTGAATTGATTTTTATTAACTCATTTCAACTAAATATTGAATATATATATATATATATATATAAATACTTTTGTGAAAAGTTATTTTAAAGTTTTTTAAATATTATTTATTATATTAAATGGTAAAAAGCAATTATTTGAGATCAATGTCTCGATCAGAATCTTCAAGTCCTGTAAATTCAGATGAAAGTATTGATATCAATGATGATGAAGAAGATGTGTCACAATCACCAAAACGACATTTCCTTTCTTCACCTATTATGCATCCAAACGGTTCCGTCAATTCAAGCAAACCATCGAAATTATCATTTAGTATCAGTCGCTTATTGGGAGCCAATAGTGACTCTAATAAACACAATGAGAGCGGATCGACATCTGAATCGGTCGATCATGAAATGTCTGAATGTGTGACCACTGAAAGTGCTGTTAAATCGCCGTCCATAACATACCCACCTTCTCCGTCATCGTTGTCACCAAATATGAACAATAAATACAGTCTTTCATCACATCGTATATCATCAATGAGTCCCTACGAAACAGCATTAAACCATTTAACAGGAAATCATTACCAATGGTTTGCTTCGACATCAAATACACTCATTAGAGATGGTCTTCAAAGTAAGTTTGATAATATGTTCGCAATATTAAAGTAAAAGATTATTAAATATGATGTAATGTCCGATAAAGAGCTTCTTGAGCCCCCAAAGTTGCCTCCAGTCAAATGTCAACTCAGACGACATAAGTCTAACCGAAAACCGCGGACACCGTTCACAACACAACAGCTTTTAGCACTCGAGAGGAAGTTTCGCTCAAAACAGTATCTCTCGATTGCAGAGAGGGCTGAGTTCTCCAGGTTTGACCTTTTGGTTGTCATAAATCTATTACCAATTAATTAGTTTTATAATAGAAATTATTATAAAATCATTTCTCTTATTTATATAATTTTTTCAACATTCAGAAAATATACTAATTTTTCAGTACAGTGTACTATATTATCAATTTTTTTATTTTAATATATAAAACCCAAATTATCAAATTTGAAACATTTAAGCCTAATTTTAAAATTATAATTATATCAATAATTTTAAAATAAATTTAATCAAATTACATTTATAAAATATGATTTAACTGTTTAGTCAAATATATTCATATTTTGCTTATTTAGTTTGAGTTATATACTGTTAAATCTGTAAATGTCTATACTCTGTAATACTCTGTAATACATTAGAATATATTAATCTATTATTTAAAAATAATAATAATAATAATAATAGAAAATTAAAATAAAACAAAAAATTATTTTTACAGTTCACTTAATTTAACTGAAACTCAGGTCAAGATTTGGTTTCAGGTATGTATTGAAATATTTCAGAAAATTGGTTATTGAATATTAAAAATTATGAAATTTAATCCGATATTTGACAGAACCGAAGAGCAAAGGAGAAGCGTTTAAAAGAAGCCGAAATAGAGAAGATGCGAATGGCTTCCCGACCTCTCTTACCTCAGGCCATAGGTATTGCCGGCTTTCCGGTCAGTCTTCATAATACGTCGAGTATGGGTCACAACCCATTTATGCCGGTCTCCACTTCAATGCCTCATTCACTGCATTCATCCTCATCTGTGGCATCATTGGCAGCGATGACCACATTCAGTGGTCACTCGCATCCAAATGACGTGAATCTCACGCAACCGACACCACTGTTCAGTACAAGTCCTTCATTACACGTCAATTCATCCGCTAATATGCGTCCATAAAGAGCCTTATAATTAATATAAATTCAATTGTAAGTTAAGTGCAATTATTCACATAAATATTAACTATTTATACCATATAAATGCTATACATTATATAAGATTTGCATTAAACTTTTGCGTTTAATTAATATTTATGTATAAACTACACTATTTTTCTAAAACATATATTTATATAAATTACAAATATATTTATATTATTTACAGATAAGCTATATATATAAGCATAATAACATATTAATTATAATATTATAATTATTTCAAGTTTTATTTAACGAACAAAACAAATTAAATGTATATAATGCTATTAAGTAGTGAGTAATGAAAAATAATTAAATTAATGTTTTTATGATAATTGTCTTTCTGTTTTAATTTAATTACTGCTTACTTTGAAATACAATTATTTTTTAAAGCAATTCATTAAAGTCAACGTAAAAAATATTTGTTATATGCATTGCAACTAAATATAGTTGAAAACCAGTTTCGCCGAAAAAAAACAACAAATGAAACCATAGATAGTGTATTATAGTGTTGTGTCTATAAGTTTGTATTAATGTGTTTCAAAAGCAATACATTGCAAGCGATTGTCACACAGTATCGTCTCATTTGATTTGTTACACTCTATTGAATTCACTTAAAATCAAAGTGACAACAAATGGTCATCACTTGTATCGCTGTTTGCTTTTAAGTTAATATTGCTTTCTAAATATAATTAAACGTATTAATAATTTTTATTTATTAAAGATTTATCATTAAAATCTATTAAAGTAGACATATAGTGTCACACACATACACATACACATACACATACACATACACATACACATATACATACACATACACATACACATACACATACACATACACATACACATACACATACACATACACATACACATACACATACACATACACATACACATACACATACACATACACATACACATACACATACACATACACATACACATACACATACACATACACATACACATACACATACACATACACATACACATACACATACACATACACATACACATACACATACACATACACATACACATACACATACACATACACATACACATACACATACACATACACATACACATACACATACACATACACATACACATACACATACACATACACATACACATACACATACACATACACATACACATACACATACACATACACATACACATACACATACACATACACATACACATACACATACACATACACATACACATACACATACACATACACATACACATACACATACACATACACATACACATACACACTTACCAAGTCTGTTGTCTAATGTTTTAAAGCTAACAAAAAAACAAAACACTCATTGAATAACTAATCAAAAAATACTAAAAACAAAAATGTGTTCAAAAGTAAAGTGAAATAATTTGCATTTTGATTACTTTATAATTTTGTTAATTTATTTTTGCACACATTTTTAAACACATGAGAAAAAAGTGTTTTAACAAATTGAAAGTGAATTAAATAATTTTAAAATTAATGACACAATTATTTTACTTCAAGATCTCAATAATTAAACTTAATATTATTTTTGATAATTTTTTTTATACAATCTTTATATCTTTGACTCCATATTTAATGTACAATATATTAACAAAATACAAATATATTGATTTTGATTAATGTTTTTTATTTCTTTTGACAAAACTATTTTATTAAATAAAAAAATTATCAAAAAGTTAATTTTAAAAATTTAATTGACCTAATATTTTTATATAATTAATCAATGCTATTAATAGTATATGAAAAAATCACTCAAATATATTACATACAAAAGGGTTTATCAGATTATAATTATAATTATAAAATTTATCTTTTATGTTTTATCTTTTAAATTTATATTAACATTTGGTTAAAATGTTTAACTATAAATTAGCTTATTTAATGAAATTTAGAAATGTTAAATTATTATATAATTGTACAATATTTTAAAATAGATGAGTCTTAAATTAGATTTAAATTATACTTTAAAATAAATTCTATAGATATGTTTTCATACAGTATATTAAAATTATTTCATTTTTAATTAAATCATTATTGAGTAACTAATTTGAAAACATTGCTATAAAATAGGAATTACAATAATTTAACAAAAGTATGCACTGGTTTTGAAAATATAGAGTAATTATCACTCATTATATCGCTTTTCAGTAGATTTGTAGCCAATTATTAAGTGAAGTGTAAAAAATGACATTAAAAATGAAACTATTTTCACACCAACTTTCACTTGAATTTATTATTTTTTAAATCTAAGTCTATCGACAATTTAAATACATTATATGTAAAGAAAAACTATTTTAAATAAACATAAGTTACTAATAAACAGAATGTTCTTAATATTTAATTATTGTTAGACTTAACTCTAAATACTTTATTTGAAAATAAATTTTTACACAACTTCTTGAAGTAAATATATTCTAAGATTTTTATATTTTAAGCAATAGATATGTTATGTTATATATTAAGAAATGAATAATAATTATACTATTAATATAAGTTTATGTGAAACCAGATTTGAAAATATCTAGAGAACAACAAATCATACTCTAATAAAAATTATTATTATTTATAAACTGACTTTTAATAATAAAAACAATATAAATAAAATCTTTTGAAAATGCTAAGCATAACATTGTCATACAAATTTATGAATGTTATTTTTAATTTTGTTAAAAATAATTATGTATAATCATTGTTGTGTGTGTACATACATTTTGTTACAATATTATGGCAATAAAAATATGTTGAAATATACCAAAAATTTATCTTAAATAACTTCTAAATGATCTTGAAAATCATATAAAATCATAGAATCTAAAATAGATCATAAAGATATAATGTAAAAAATGATCAAGGGATTTTAAATAATAATAAAACCAAAAATGTTAGGTCAAGAAATGAGGGTCAAAGGGCACAGGGAAAGTAACAAAATCAAATCTACTAAATACATAAATTCAATATGATTTTAGACCATAAATAACAACATTAATTTTGTCCGCTATTTTTTATATATGCTAAACAAATTTATACTGTTTTTTCATACTATGTTATCTCTAATTACAATATATTTCATTAAATCAAAATAGTTTGAAAATATGTTATAGTATATTATAATTTTTTTAAATTATTGAATGTCTTATACTTTTGAATACAATTTCTAAACTAACAAAATTTGTGTTTAAACTTTTAATTAAAAAAATATTTATATACAATTATACCGGTATATTATTAAGCATATAACAATAATCTTGATTAGTTTGAGATATATTTGAACTATGTTATTTTATCTAAAACATATGAGAAAATTAAATCACAACTATTAATAGTATATTAAGTGATTATTTTATTTAGTGTTAGATATTGATTAACTAAAAAGACATATACAGTATATATATATATACTGTATACTGTATATACTGTATAGTGTATACTATATAAAGGTAAATATATTTGATATATTAGTATATTTTTATATCAATTAAATTTGATGGCATTAGTGGCGAAATTATTTGATGCTATGATTGGCAAAGCAATAGAAAAACCGGTGGCATAAGTATGGGCTCATATATATCGTGCAAACAAATAGTTTGGTTGCAATTGAGTCGGTATTTACTAAAAAAGAAAAATAATTATATAAAATACATTTATATATAGCGCTATCGAAATCTATAGATTGGGTGGTCTATCAATAAACATTATTTATCATTGCTTTCAAATCAGATAACTTTAATTTTGACTTTCTATACTCATTATATTGTAGTATGTGTTTTAAACTACTCTCTCTCTCTCTCTCTCTCTCTCTCTCTCTCTCTCTCTCTCTCTCTCTCTCTATCTCCATATATTTTGTACAATGTATTAATGCCTTACAGTGTTATTAAAAATTTATCTTATTATATATATATATATATATATGCATTGATTGATTCTCAATAAAAAGTATAAATTATTTGTTTTATAATATGTAAAACAAAGAAATATTTATAATATATATTTTAGTTAGAAATAGTAAATTAACAAACTTAATTATAAGTAACACCAATACAATTAAAATCATAAACAAAAAATAAACAACTAGAGTTAAATAAGTGAAATTTTTCAAATATATGATTGAATTATTTAACACAAGTTTTCCAACAAATAGTTAATTAGTATTTATTAAAGAAAATGATAATTGATTTAATAATAATTAAATAAAAATATTCATTACCGACTTTTAAAGCAATTATTTATAATTTATACAATTTTGATGTTTGAGTCAAAAAGATTTTATGATTTGATAATTACGATTCTCTTTCTTTATATTATTTATTTGCTTGTTATGACTTCAATACTAAATTAGCCGAACTTTTAAAATTCATTTTTCAAGTCAAACATTTATAATTGATGTCATATAAGATCTTGTTTTAGTAACTATTATCCATAATTAACCAAAATATGTAGTATTATTATATAAAATAAATAATAATATAAAAATTTTGAACATTCAGAAAAGTGAAATTATAAATATCTTTTTTTTATTTGAAAATAAAATGCAATTTGTTATATATTTTCGAATCATTTAAATTATTTTGCAATTCAATAAGTTTTTGTATATTAGTAATCAATTAATGAAAGTATTTGGTTTTATAAAATAGTTTATAAAAAGCAACTTTAATTAAAGATTTAAAATTTTAATCTAATAAATAATTTAGTTGTTTTGTAAATTAATTTATAAAACTTAAATCATCATATAAATATATTAAATATAGATAAATAGGTAATATTATAGTCTAATTTCCATATATCACTTATATTAATTTTATAATTAATATTTATTGTTATTATAGTTTGGTGAGATTAACTTATTATATGTTTAACGTCAATGTAATGTAAATAAAAACATTTAATTGTAATTAAAATATATTTTTATAAAAGTTATTTATTAATATATAAAATAATTTTTA